TTGGTCTGTATGTCTGTTTTTGTGCCAGTACCATACTGTCTTGGTGATCACAGCTTTGTAATACAGCTTGAAATTGGGCAACATGATGCCCCCAGCTTTGTTTTTCTTTTTCAACATTTCCTTGGCGATTCAGGGTCTTTTCTGATTCCATACATATTTAAGAAACGGCTTTTATAGCAAGTTATTACTGGCAGTATATTTTGGAGTGAAGGAGAGAAATGAATATGTTTTGCTGCTAATGAGTGAAGCAACACCAGATGAAAGAGTAGGAAAAAAAAGTAATCATCAGGTGACAATGGAGAGTTATTGTTTAATGAGTGCAGATTTTAGCTTGGGATGGTGACAAAGTTCTAGAGATGGATAGTCATAATGATTGCAAAACAATGTGAAGTACTTAAGGTTACTAAAGTGTACACTTAAAAATGATTAAAATACTAAATTTTATGTATATTATACCACAATGAAAATTTAAAAAGAAAACCTGTTTTTAAAAAGGCAGCAATCTTGTGCTAGATAGCTTAAAAAAGGCAAAAACATCAAAAACATTGGTATGATCTTGAGAACTCAGGATAAGGTTATATTCAATAAGGCCAAGAAGTAGAGAATGTATTTTTGAAAGGTGTGCATCAAAAAACATTATAGTAAAAATATTTTAGCATTTAGATCATGTTAATAAATGCTTTATAATTCTAAATGCACTTGACATGTAGTACCTCATTTGATCCTCTATATGATATTTTGAGGTGGGTAGTACAATTATCCTACAATTATTTCATCCATGAGGACGCAAACTCAAAAGGATTGGGTTCCTGATAGAGGCAATCAGCAAAATAAGACCATCCAGGAGTTTTGATTCCAAATTTCATGCTCATTACACTATGTTATATTGCCACAAGTAATGCTCAAGTTTTAGTGAGTACCTCCTTATGACACTTTCTTGTAGTATTTCTATTCCTTACAATAATATTCCACATAATTATGTAACAGTGAGAAAACAGGTTCATCTGTCCTAGCTCACATGGCTAGAGAAAGCTAATTTGGGATTTGGGCCTAGCTTTAATCCCAGAGCCTGTATTCTTCTCAAGTGTTAACTCTTGAATCATTACCAAGCCACAGGGCTAATTATTGTCGCATAAATTATTTCCTTATAGTTGGATAAAGGTGAGAATCATATTGTCATAACAAAACATTATGAGTTTTCAAAAGTACTCAAAGGGCAGACATCCAATGGCACATAAGAACTTCACTTATAGTTATTGAGCACCTGTTTTTCTTAGCAAGGTAAAGTGGACCAGGGACTGCTTCTCTCAGCAAATACCCTCTAATGAGGTTTAGATAAGTTCGAAGCATTCACATCACGATTCCCCTTCTTTTCTTTGGTGTACTTTCACTGGGATTCAAGTTACTGTTGGAGTGATGACAGAAAAGGACCAAGGAAGCAGCTTAGTCTTCTTTGTTCTGGTCTTTATCCTCTAGTCTGGGCCTAAGGAAATGCTCACCAGTTACATTAGGATGTTGGATTGCAGCTTTTGCTGGTTCAGGTTCTGGACCCTGCCATCTTTCCCTTTCTCTATGTAACTTGAGTGGATTGAAATAGAGAACTGATGTTTGAGAGGAAAAGGTGAGCAAAAAGAATGAGACTCCTGCATTTGGAGAGGAGTGGAACTGTGAAGAATAAAAATGGAAGAGGGATGGCACTTTGTACATATTTGGGACTTAATTTTTGTGGAAAAAGGAATTATATGAAAACTTTGTGTGGCCACTGTATTTTTTATAGGGTGTTGGCAGTTTTCTAGCATTTTATATTGTTAATATTGTACTAGTCATTCGATACATATTTATTGAGTGCCTACTATCTACCAGGCACAAATACAATGTTATTGGATTATATATGTAGTATTTTATTAAATTGTAAGTACTGTAAATATCATTATCTAGTGTACATTGTAAAATCCTGTCTGGTAAGCTTGATTGGACCACACAGATGAGCATAATTCAAGGTGAGAATAGAAGTCACAGAAATGGGTGAATGGATGACTTCTTGCCCTGGTAAGCCTAGCTTCCCTCCAGGGTTAGGCAGAGATTTTGCCTGAAATCATACCATTGCTTGGCTTGTTCCCCTTTCCTGTCCTGATTCTCTCTCTCCCTCCCTTACTGGCTTCTCCTGACAGCACCTAAATGATTTGCCCACAAATTCTCGCCACAGGGTGTGCTTCTGAAGTTTCTGACTATGTTAATTTGGGTCTACCAAGAAGCAGACACCAGCACAGGATTAGCGTGCAAGAATTTGTTATGAAGGGAGCAGAAGTAGGCAGAAAAGCCTCTGGACCACAACATGGGATGATACCTGTAGGAGGAGAGAGGGAAGGAAAGAGGCGTAGGTAGGAAGTTTCTAAGTGAAGTGCAACTCCAAGAAAGGTCTGACCTTGCCAATGAGGAGGTCTTCACGTCAAACTTCTTGTCAGAAGAGTCTTGCAGTTTTCCAGAATGAGCCTGAACTAAGACCTCTGCCATGCTCAGTCGTTGACTAGAAGCAGCCCTCGGAAAGTCTGGCCTCCGTGCCAGTGTGGTGGATCCAGACATTAGCAGGTAGGGCTGTCAGTCATTTGTGTTCCCTACAGCAAAAATATCTGAGTGGAACATTTTCAGGGCCACTACAGTATCCTAGGGTATTCATATAATGTTTTATTCATTCATTTTTGGAAAATATTTTCATTTGTATATTCTCAACAAATAAATATGAACCAGGCACTGTGAACAAAATAGAAGAGTCATTGCCTGCATGGAGCTTTTATTCTGTGGGAGAACAGATTTTTTAAAAAAGTGAATAAAAATATAACAGAATTTCATTGGGTGATAAATGCTATGCAGGAAATAATAACATCTATTGAGTGTGGTTGTGTGCTTGAATTCTAAGTGCATTACATCTGTGAACTCCTTTAATCTTCCCAGCAAACTTATGAGGTTTACTCTTATTATTCCCAGTTTACAGGTGAAGGGCTTGAACAGTGCTCAAGTAACTTAGCCCCATGGTCACTCAGAATCAAAGGAGTGTGAGACTCAGGCAGACAGTGCTTGAGCAGTATGTAAATAGAGTTGTCAGGAAGGGCTTCTCTGGGGTGCCTGGGTGGCTCAGTCGTTAAGTGTCTGCCTTCTGCCTTTGGCTCAGGTCATGATCCCAGGGTCCTGGGATCGAGCCCCGCATTGGGCTCCCTGCTTAGCGGGGAGCCTGCTTCGCCCTCTCCCACTCCCCCTGCTTGTGTTCCCTCTCCCACTGTGTCTCTCTCTGTCAAATAAATAAAATCTTTAAAAAAAAAAAAGAAAGGGCTTCTCTGAGGGAGTCATATGTAAGCTAAAACTTAAAGGATGGAAAGGCATTAGTTGTTGTATTTGTAAGAGTGGGATTTGGCAGAAGGCAAGAAAGAACATCCCAGGTAGAAGGAACAGTGTGTGCAATGGCTTGGGTTATGAAGGAGGTTAGCATATTTGAGAACTGAAAGAAGGCATCATGGGAGCAAGAGGAAAAGCAGTGGACAGTGAGGATGGAGAAATGGACAGGGCCAGATTGTTCAGGACCTTGTATTTCATTGAAGTTTCATTCTCCTCTACGGTATACTCTAGCCTTCTGGAATCTCACTGACAAAAGTTTATTTTAAAAGTTCTCTATTTTTTGCATATATTGTTTCAGAGGAGAGTCGTTTGCTTTCATTGGCCACCTTGCTTCCACTCTGTGGAGCATCTGATTTCCTTCATGTTACTGGTGATTTTTCATTATGTTTTCATGTTTATAAATGAAGGTCAAGATGGCTCAGTCCTAAGAGCTATAGCAGGGGCTCTTCAGCCCCTACACTTCCCACTCCTCACTTGCCATTCCCACCCCCCTTTCACCCCATTCTTGTAACAGACAAAACAGTGGTGGACATATGACTGGGCCTAGCTACCCAGCTAGCAGTAAGTCTTTGAAATTTTTCTTCTGTGTCTGGAAAATATGGCTGTCATTAGTCAGAGTTTTCTTTTATAAACAACAGGGAAACCCACTCTGGTTAATGTTTTGTAAAATAAGTTTTTGGGAGGGTATCAAGTAGTTAATATAACAAAGGCTAGAGATAAATCTTGGGCAGGACTCAATGGAAGCAAGACATACCATCAGTCTTGGGGCGCCTGGGTGGCTCAGTCGGTTAAGTGTCTGCCTTCGGCTCAGGCTGTGATCCTGGGTCCAGGGATCAAGCACCGCCCCAGGTTGGGGTCCCTGCTGAGCAGGGGCGGGGGCTGCTTCTCTCTCTCCCTCTGCCCTTCCTTCCCGCTACTGCTTGCTTTCTCTCTCCAATAAATAAAATCTGTAAAAAAAAAAAAAAAAAAAAGACATACCATCAGTCTTAAGATGCCCCTGATAATGCCATCTTCAATGGCTTGGCTCTGCTCCTGGTTTCTGTGCTCCGTGGACACCTGCCATCACATCACTGAACACTCACCACCATACCATTGCTGCTGCAGCTGTCCTGTATCACCTCCAGTCCTAAAACTTTGCACCTCTTCCTCTAGGTTCGAGATCATGGCTGGGAGTATCTGATTAGCTATACTCAGCTCTTGTGTTCATGCTTCAGCTTCCAGAGAAGAGGAAAAGTGATACCTGTCCCTCTTTGCTTTCAGCTTCTATAGTGAGCCCCATTTGGGATTTCCCTTCAATTGGAAAGGGTCTTTGGGTGCTAAACAGTCAGTAGGATGATATCCATTGGCCATTCTGGCTGCCTAATACAATTTTCTGTTACCTCAGGGGCTGAGGTGAATTTTGAGCTAATGTTGCCATGTTCCTTGTCACTTGGACTAAGCCCATCTGCAGAAAGAGAAAATGTGGCCAACATACAGAAACAGATGATGGGCTATAGGAAATGAAAAGAGGAGGAGAAAGATGTTAGGTGGGGAGGAGAGATGCAGTGAGGAGAGAGAGATGGGAAAGTGTTGGGAAAAGATTAACTGCGGAAGAGTTGGAGCACTGCCCTTTTTCATGTCAGATGGCTGCTTCAGTGCCATCTTCACATAAATAATTAATTCCCTTTTATAATAGTCTAATGCTATTTGGAGTTGGATTTCTTTTATTTGCCATCGAAAAGATCGAATTAATGCAGGAGCTGAGGTGGGTTTCATCTACATCTGTGTAAGTTATTGTTTGGTTTTCTTTTCATTTCTCAATCCCACAAAGAGGAGGCTGGGCCACCCCTCTGAAGTTCTGACTTTCAAGTGATCCAGTGCGCTGGAGATTATGATCTAGCAGGTGTGTACCTTTATTACCTCCCAGGAGCCAGGTGAAGTCTGTAGTTGGATTTTGCCTCAGAGCAGTGGTAGATCTCTTTCTGGTTGCATCGGCAAGTAGTAGGCATGCCTCCTCTTAGGTAAGGCATGACTTGAATGGCTGTAGACATGAATATGAGCCTATCATTACATGACCAGTAAGTGATCTGGTAAATAGGATTCCTTTTCTGTGGTATTGGTGACACTAAGACCTCAGTTTATCTCAACAGAGCTTGGGAAGTTTGGGAGAGGGATGGAAAAAGAGTGTTTTGGTTTGGATTACCCCCCAAAATAAGCCAGACTTATGTCCACATAATTTATTTGAAACGTGATCCAAGAAAGCAATGAAGTAGGAAGAATGAAACAGAGGAGGAAAAAGCCATTACAAAGCTACCTTATAGTGTTGGTCACTGCTGCGGGTGAGTGGAGCTCAATGGCACTGGAGTCTTTTGAGAAGCTGTATATAATGTGCCTCCAAATTGCCTGCCCAAAGAAATGGGAGGAAAGCATTTATGCATTGACTTTGAATCTCTAGTCATCAAAGGCTGACTTACAGGCCATTGCTGTTGTGCATGCAGGAGGACATAGAGGGTTCCCACAGGGGTTCTTGAAATAGCACAATATTGGAGAAGCCTTGGGGCAGAAAAAAAAGATGTATGATGCAGCTGAGGTGAATCGTTGTGTGGAGCTGGCTGTCAGCAGTGGCGAGAGTAAAAAGTGGGTCCAGGGGATATGAGGCAGGACCAAGGGATGTCAATATAAGGGGAGGAGATGTGCTGAATTCTTAATCATACATAAGGGGAGCCAAAATATTTAGTTGGGTCTTAGCTAAGTACAAAAAATGTAGATTAGCTTTAAAAACATAAATGATAACCATTAGTAGAATCTAAAATAATATGTATACCCCCAGATCACTGGAGAAAAGAAGAAGAAGAAAAAAATAAGTTCATATTAACAGAAGTTAGAAGACTGGGAAACTGCAAAAGTCCTCCGTTCCCTCCCTTTCCCTCCTTCCCCTTCCCTCCCCTTTCCTTCCCTTCCCCTCCTCTCTCCCCTTCCTCCCTCTCCCCCTCACCCTCCTTCTCTCTCTCTCTCTCTCTCTCTCACACGCGCTTGTGTTTTTAGATGGGAGAAAGAGAGTGAGTATATGTATAAGTATATACACATGTATATCTAGTAAATTAAAAATTATGATGGTAGAAACAAAAACAGATATACATTAAAGGAGGGATGGATCTAGCCTGAAGTTTATACAGTTTGGGAGAGGTGGTCTTTAAGAAGAATAACACAAAATTACAAATACAAATTAGATATGAAGTGAATATTTATTTGGAATGAGGAAAAAATGACAATCCATTACGGATGTCACAAACATCATGAAATTGAAAGTTAACTTTAACTACCTGATAATCCCTCCATAGTGCTTTCTCCTGCATTTTTGAGGCAATAAATCTGACAACTTTTTAAATTTTGGAAACTTTTTATGAAACACAACTTACCAAAACTGTTTTATGAGCCTAGCATAATTCTGATTTCACAATCTTAGAAGTATAAGAAAATGAAATTACAGACTAATGTCCCTTATGAACTTAGGTACAAAAGTTCCAAAAGAAAAAGCTCAAATCCAGCAATATATCAGAAGGTGAGTGAACACATCATGAGCAAGTAAGGTTTATCTCAGGAATATAAGTATGGTTTAATATTTGAAATATATGTAATTCACCATGTTATCAGAATAAAGGAGAAAAAATAAAAGCATCTCAATAGATATAGGAAAAGTGATAAAACTCAATATCCATACGTAGTTTTTTAAAAGATCAGCAAACTAGGAATAAAAAGGAATTTTTCAATCTGATCAAAGGTATCTTAAAAAATCTTCACCGAACATAATAATAGTAAAATATTTAAATCTTTACCCCTAAAATCTGGAAGATAATGATGTTAGCATTCATCACTCTTACTCAACATTATAATGAAGGTCCTAGCCAATGTATTAACACAAGAAAAAAACAAAAGACAAGAATTCAAAAGGAAGAAATAAAGGTGTCTTTATTTGCAAATGGCATGATTTATTTTTTATGTAGGAAATTCAAAGGTATAAAAAAGTATATAAAAATGAACTATTAGTACTAATAAGTGAGTTTAGCAAGATTATAGGATATAAAATCAATCCGTAGTTTTATTTCTTTGTAGTAATCCTAAACGTTTGGAAAAAAAATTAAAATAAATACCATTTTTCATAGCATAAACCCCATCATATACCTAGGAATGAATTTAATAAAAAACAGAATTTTAAAATATTGCTGAGATAAAGAAGACATGAATAAGTGAAAAGACAAATGATGTTGATGGATTTGAAGATTCAATACTGAAAAGGCGTCAATTCTTCCCAAATTGATCAATTGGTTCAATAAAATCTTAAAAAAAATTCCAGCAAACATTCTTTAGAAATTGGCAAACAGGTTTTAAAATTTACAAAGACATGCAAAGGCCTTAAAGTAGCTAAGATAATCTTGAAGAAGAACAAAGATTTTCTATAAAGCTATTATAGTAACGTCAATAAAATAATAAGGAAAAAAAGTAGACCTGTTTAGAATACACAGGACACGCTGCTATCACATTAACCAAGTCACCGTACTTCAAGGGCAATTCAGCATCCTTAGCAATATCCATCCCACCTGGGCACTGAGGTGGCCACTCTTTCTGTGCATCCAATCTGCTTTATCTTCTGAAGGGTTGGTTGCTAGGGCTTGTACCCAGCCTAGGGCTTGTGCCTGAGTTAGGGCATCAGCTTCCTGATTGTCAGTGCCTTATGAGCTGGAACATGGAAGACAGTGAGGACCACTTCACGCTCTTGCAGAGGTGGACCCAAATGTCCCCACACACATCCTGACCCCAGAAGGGCCCACTCATGATCATCCATCCCTTGGCTTCCCTATGTCCAAGACATAGGATTAATCTCAACTGTCAGTACAAAGGGTTAACGGCCAGAGCTCACCATCCAAACCATTCTGAGTTCAGTTCACTGTCTGCTGTGGTTTCTTCTTTCCTAAGAACCTCCACCTGGAGGAGTGCTATGTACAGTGTTAGGAGCTGTTGCTCTGCAGGGGTATATTGGATTTCTGTCCCCTTCCAGAGCTGGGACCAGAATCCTAGGGGCACTCTCCCTTTCTTTTGTCTCTGTCGCAGTGTCTGACCCATATCTCCCAGAGTCACATCTGGGAAGACATCTAACTTCGGTGGTAACCCTCCTTGGGAGATGCCCAGAGCTTTAATCAGCTATACTAGCATTTTTGTCTTCTCAAGGGTGGCTTACTGCTCTGATCCCCACTCCTGCATGTGCCCTTTCTTTGCCAGGGACAGAGACACCATGCCAGATGGGGAATAAAAGGCTTCCAAACTCCCAAATCCTTACAAAGACTTGCACCTCTTTCATCATTATAGGGGTTGGATAGGCTTGCACCTTATCAATCATAGCTTCTAGGACAATGCAAGTCTTAGTCAACCAAATGACTCCCCAAACCATATGGGCCTTGAATTATCTGGGGGTTCACTGGCCATCCTTCCTCTCATAGATCCTCTAGCAAAGCTGTAGGGTGTCCTACTGCAGAGGCAAATCTTCATATGTTAACATTATATTATCAATGTAATGGCCCGTTTTACTGATGTGGGGAAGGAGAATGAGGACAGGTCTCAAGCTACCATCTCGTGAGATATGGTGGGACCATGTGCTTTGGGGAAGAAGAACCTGAAAGGTGTATTACTTGTCCCTCCTATATGAATGCGAATTGATGTTAGTTATCAGAAAAAAAAATTCTTTTCCACAAATCTCCTTGCAGATGAAGGACTTTTACAGGAACACTTTCTTTTGGTCAGAGCATCAGAGTAGACCAATAATTGTCTATAAATGACAAAGACTTAAAAAATAGCCATGGTTAAACATCTGATGAGAGTTCATTTTAATGTAATTGACAAAGAATTTTGGTTATTGCTGTGATATACATTTAAAAATTATGACTAATAACATTATACCAGGACATACCAGATTTTTAGGAATTTCATACAAATAAGAAAGAAACTTTAGCATCACTTCTTATTTGACAGTACTTTCCATGAGATTTAATGTATAAAAAGTTATATAGTTATAAAAACTTAGCTCTTTTAGTGGAGAAGACTCTGTTTTCTTAAGTATTCAAAGACCTGATAAAGGCAAAACACAGAATCTTTGTTTTTTTGTTTTTTTAGGCAGATTACATTAAAGGTAAAGAAAAACCTTTTTACAATTTCTTATTAAGAGCAGACCAATAATCTAAGAAAATGTCCTTTTAGTGGAGAGAAAACCAAATTCTAATTTTGCACCATGTACTTTTGGTATTAAAATTCTCTCTCTCTTTTTTTCTTTTTAACCCTGTGGGGAGTGTTTTGGTTGTCTCTGGGGGTTTACGTTTCAAAGACATGATAGGATTTACAGTCTCAAGGGACAAAGAAAAATAGGTTTTCTTTCTAACTCTTTCTAAGAGTTTTTTGGTAATTGCTATTTAAAAT